GATGGGTCTTTAATCTAGATTTAAACTGACAGAGTGTGTCTGCCTCACGAACAACATTAGGTAGATTGTTCCAGAGTTTGGCCACTAAATATGAAAAGGATCTGCACCCACAGTTGATTTTGATATTCTAGGTATTATCAAATGGCCAGAGTTTTGAGATTGCAGCGGGCATGAAGGACTATAATGTGATAAGAGCTCACTAATGTACTGAGGAGCAAAACCATTCAGGGCTTTATAAGTAATGGGCAAGATTAATGTATACGATGTTTAAGAGGGAGCCAGTGCAGTGTTGACAGAACTGGGCTAATATGGTCATACTTCCTGGTTCTAGTAAAAACTCTAGCTGCTGCATTTTGGACCAGCTGGAGTTTGTTTATTAAGTGTGCAGAGTAACCACCCAATAATACATTATATATAATAATCTAACATTGAAGTCATGAACGCATGAATTAACTTTTCTGCATTTGACATTGAGAGCATTGGTCATAATTTAGATATATTTTTAAGATGGAAACGTGCTGTATTACAAATGCTATAAATGTGACTTTCAAAGGAAAGATTGCTATCAAATAGCATACCTAGGTTCCTAACTGATGACAAAGAATTGACAGCACAGCCTTCAAGTGTTAGACAGTGTTCTAGATTATGACATGAAGAGGTTTTTGGTCCGATAAATAACACCTCTGTTTTCTCAGAATTTAGCAGTAGGAAATTACTAGTCATCCAGTTTTTTTATATCAGCAATGCATTCCATTAGTTTTGTGAATTGGTATGTTTCGTCAGGCCGCAAATAAATATAGTATCATCAGCATAGAAGTGAAAGCTAACACCATGTTTAGGATATCTCCCAAGGGTAACATGTAAAGCATGAAAAGCAATGGTCCTAGAACTTAGTCTTGTGGTATTCCATACTGCACTTGTGAATGATATGATACCTCTTCATTCACTGCTACAAATTGATGACGGTCAGATAAGTATGATTTGAACCATGCTAATGCAATTCCACTAATGCCAACATAATTTTCTAGTCTACTCAAAAGTTGTGGTCGATAGTGTTAAATGCAGCACTAAGATCCAGTAGCACTAATAGAGAGATACAACCACGATCAGTTGATAAGAGCAGCTAATTTGTAACTATGTGGTATTGCTGTAAAAATGAACTTTAACCATCGATTCTTCACAGCCTCGTCCTTTGCCAGTAAAAAAAAAAGGATTTACCCTCACAGTGCAGAGCACAGAGTCTTCTCGACATGATGCTATGAATAGGAAACTGCTACAGTGTTTGAGGGAGGTGGGGTTCAAGTTATTGGAGATAGGACTAACTGCAGAACCGCAGAACCATACGTCATGACAGTCTGAGGACAACAGCGCCAGACTAACAGTCTGAGGCCGGAAGTGGGCGGAGCAAGTGTTGTGTTTCAAAGTTTGAAACAATGTTATCATCAAGAATTTTATTAAAACGATTGAATTGAAAATATATATAAGATGCAATTATATATATACAGTGTTGGGGAGTAACTAGTTACATGTAACAGAATTACGTAATTTAATTACAAAATAAAAGTAATTGTAATCAGTTACAGTTACTGAGAAAAAACATGTAATTAAATTACAGTTACTTATGAAAATGTTAAGGATTACAAAGGGGGTTACATCTCCTTTTTTTCACACACACTCCCAAATTATAGATTATTATCCATTTGTTTTTTTGTGTCATAAATGATTAACAATATAAATTGAACAAATCTTAAAACAAAAAAATAAAAACAAAGCTTGAGCGTTTGAAAGGATTTTTTTATACTCCATTTCACAACTAACCAAGTTTTTTCATAGAACAAAAAAAATAATAATTCAAAAACAAAAATGATTAATTTAAATAAAATGTGTTTTTCCCTCTTAAATAGCAAAAGCATCACACACTAGCTGTACCTGCTCCAAATAAATACAATTAATTAAAAATACAAAATCCAACTAAAGTAAATAAATAAATTGAAGTTATGCAGGCACACATTTAACAATAATTCTCAAAAATAACATTAAAACTAAAATAAATCAAAACTCCATAAACATGGAGTTAATCCTGACTTGCCTTTTGTCCAGACACTCCTAAAGAAAAACGTCTCAGGTTACGTATGTGACCATGGTTCCTCGAGGGAATGAGACACTGCGTCGGAGAACGCTTTGGGGATTAAATTAAAGAAGGGCCTTTTCCTGGTCTTCCTTGTTTAATTTCAGATACCATGGCTCTTCCACAAAACCTCTGAATGCATGGCAGTTATTCCGCAGCCATCCAACTGCGGTCAAGAGGTATTTTAATATCCATGGCTCCTTCATGAGAGAAGAGTACAAAAAAAGGGATGAAATATTTAATTAATTTAAATAAACTTATCTCACAAGAGAAGAGATGGTTTGCACCAGATTTAGCTGCTAGCTAATTTTCATCTGTTGTCCCGGCCAGATTGGAAGTGTCCTCAATAATACCTTGTGTTTTAATCAGGATGTAGCATGTAAATTAAAGTTTTGAAATTCTGTTTTTCTCATGTGCCCCTGTTTGAGACAATAAAAGCATACCATGTCGGCGATTTCAGTGTCGAGTTGTTCAAGTGGCACCTGCACATCAACGGCAGCATGTTTCCTGCAACAAATTAATTTTAAGTTAATGTATAGACCAGGGGTGGCGAACTCTGGTCCTGGAGAGCCGCAGCCCTGCAGAGTTCAACTCCAACCCTAATTAAACCTCACCTGCCTGTAGCTTTCTAGTAACCCTTCAGACCTTGATTAGCTCGCTCAGGTGTGTTTGATTAGGGTTGAAGCAAAACTCTGCAGGGCTGCGGCTCTCCAGGACCGACGTTCACCA